CGAGATGTTGCAGAAATCTTATGACGTGCCAACAGTATCCAGGCAAAGCCGTGCCATGGCATCAGCATACCAAGGTGTTCTTCCGGAAGGCCTTGGCAGCAGCCAAGATAGCACTCCTGCCAGCCGAGCAACAAGGAAATTTTGTGGAATGTGTGGGATGGCCCGTGGCGATTTGAAGCAACAGTTCTGCACACAGTGCGGGGCACGGCTGTAAATAGCTCAGGTGATGTGTGACATGGAACAGCCTGTGAAAAGGATCTTGGGAAAGATCAGACCCAGACCTGGCACCAGTATGAAAGAAAAGTTGTGTGTGATGTACTATCAGTCTTGAAAATGGCACTGTACTGAAGCACTATTCTGGCACGACAGGCTTATCTTGCTGAGAACAACACCTTTCTTGTAGCTTTAGGCCTCCAGCATAGTAGTCCAATGCATCATGAGTCCTTTGCACAATTTGTCCTTTATTGCATCGTCTTATCAATGCATCATCATTAGTCCTTTGCAGCACAATGGCTTTATCACAAAATATCACAAACAGCTCCATGGTACTTTTGCAGCACCATGACGTTAGAACAGCACACGGACAACAAGATTTTTTCACGCATTCAATGGCTCCAATGGCCTGTATAAACAAAAGCTCAAGAAGGGTAAGGGAACCAAGAGTTGGAAGTCACTCATGCTCTGAACCCGCATGCTCTTAATAGAACACGAAAAACTTCTTCCCAAACATCTTCATCTGAGGTGGGCAGTCTTCCCGAAGAGCTCCTATCTGATGGCCACTGTACATTGGTCAGGCGCTCGGTCTTTTGGATGCCAGCCACAAATGCCATAGTTCGGTCCTGCCCATGGGCCCATGTTTCGAGGTCATAGCCTTCATCAAAGCCATGGGTGAGGATCATCGCGTAGACCTCATCTTGGCGGTCAACACTCATCCGCAGAACGAAGATGTCTGGCTCCAGTTGCGAGAGTGCCTCAAACAAAACATCTCGGGGTACTGCTGTGACCACACAGCCTGTTAGGTCAGCAACATAGCACTTGAAGCCAAACCTGGGAGGAGGCAACTCACATCGGAGTTTCCAGTGAACCACCCTGCCGCATGTGGAATTCCTGCAATTCGGATGCAGCATTTGAAATCCAGGCGAGTCCACTTCAGAGGAGAACAAGTGGACCATGTCAGGCTTCACACGACGCATGGCAGAGGCAGGAAGATCCAGCCCTGAAAAGTCCGACATGTACCAAATGGTCCTCTCCTCAACTCGCCGAACTTTGTTGCGGCTGCCCTCCATTGCAGCACTGCTGTTTGTTGGATGCATTCCACTTTTCAGAAATTTACAGTGCAATTTCAGTGCAATTTACTATATTTATGATGTGTAATGATATTTATGGTGCTTATGACTTCTGTTCCATTGTGGACACACCTGGGATAGGTACTTGTGCAGCACCATGGGCTTGGGCAAGAAAGCCAAACACGCAGCTATGCAACTATTTGCACAGGATGTTCCACACTGTTTGTCAGCAGTGTTCCACAGGATGTCCCCATGTGAAGTTGCATGTCGGCAAAGTTCATGTGAAGTTGGTTTTCAGGAATAAAAAACGCTTTGCCTCATCAGAAGGTACATGGTGCTGCGCAAGTACCAGGCATAACCTCACTTTGTGGTTTTGGTGCTGGAGAAGTACCATTGGACATCCTTGCACAGAATGAGAAACCAAAAAAACTGGCATCCACATCATTATATTCAAGAAACAGGGCCAGTACTTGTGCAGCACCCGGCAGGAAAAAATAAGGTACTTGTGCAGCACCCAAAGAAGCTTCGAAGCTGCTACTCTCTGATATGGCACTAGAGAAACATCTGGCATTTCCGCAGTGCCAAGACTTCACCTTTTTCTTTGCTCTTTCGAAGCTCTAAGTCTCCTAATCGGAATCCATCTAAGGGACAGCTGTTGCCTGCTGCTATCCCATCCCCTACTAAATGGGGAGCGATTTGGAGCACCACACCCTCACTGATGATTCTCAGCCGATGCGACTTTCTGCTTGAGATCCTCAATCTCTTTGGTCAGGGCAGCCTCCTTCTCCTTTAGCTCCTGTTTCTCATTTTCGAGCTCTGCCTGCACTTCACGTTCTGACAGGATGTCCTGCTCCACCTTTTCCAGGTTCTCTGTCACCTCAGCTTCAGCCTTCAGCTGACCCTCGGTTCGGCGGTCTCGCCAGGCATAGCGTTTGTCCTCCATGGCTGCACGGCTGTTGGATATGTAATGTGTTATGAAATGATATGAAATGATATGAAATGATATGAAATGATATGAAATGATATGAAATGATATGAAATGATATGAAATGATTCCAAAAGTACAAAATCAGCATGTTTTCCCTGCGACATTTCCACCTGTAACCAGCCACATGTATTGCATTAACATGCGCTTTCTTGTTTGTATCCTTAGCAATCTTCAGTGTGAATTGGAGCGTGGCTTTTCGAATGTTGAGTTTTGCATGGCCTATCTCACCAGCTTGCTTGAGACAAAACACTGAGCATGGCATCTCTGATTTATGTTATCAAAGGTACTTGTACAGCACCATGGCAATCACACTTTGCTGAGTACTGAATCACTGAGACAGCTTCTTAACTTGAGGCCCCTGCGCATCACATTCAATGATGGCCTCATGAGGCATCACAACAGAAACATGTAAAAAAAATGAAAAATATAGGTCGGTCTCCATGAAATCACATTAGTATATATATATATATATAAGCAACAAAGCCGGTACTTGTGCAGCACCCGGCAGGAAAAAATAAGGTACTTGTGCAGCACCCAGAGAAGTTTTGAAGCTGCTGCTCTCTGATATGGCACTAGAACATCTGGCATTTCCGCAGTGCCAATTCTGCTTCACCTTTTTCTTCCTCCCGTGCCCGTCTGTGCTGGGCAGTCAGTGTCTTTGCTCTTTCGAAGCTCTAAGACTCTAAGTCTCCTTATCGAAATCCCTCTATTAGGGATAGCTGACAGTGCCTGAGCGCCTGTCTGGCTGTGCTGGGCTCTAAATCCCTCTATTAGGGACCGAAGATTGCCATGCCACTCAGTCGCTGCATCAGCTCTTGCCTGCTGCTTTCCAGACCCACAGTATCTGTATCCAAATCCCCTACGAAATGGGGAGCGATTTGGAGCTATGATCGGAGTTTCCCAAGCAAATGGTAGATATTACACATGGTTATTTGATATCACAAAAAATGATTGTATAAAGGTTTCATGATTGATTTATGTTGATTTTATAGATGCTTAATGATGCCACGCCCACATCTTGCCACATGATGGGATATATATATATATACATACATACATATATCATATGTATAGTTGATTATATTTATATATACTTTATTATATTTTCAAAAAAAACATATTTACAATAGACATGATATTCATAACAGGTCATACATATATGATCTGTTTAAAGGTGTTGATGTGCATATGCGTGTCAAAGTGTGTCACACATTACACAGGCCTGGCTGACTACTTCTTGGCCACCTTCGGTGCCTTTTTGGGCGCCACGCCCTCGCTGGAGCCTGCAGCACACACAGATGAAAGATTGAATTCATATTTGTCAGACCCAGCCTTCTCTTTTCACACCAGCTGCATGGGCAGAGGGCCCTGACATCTGCTTGCTCTCGGCCACACCAGGTCCTATCATGGTCCCCGGCACAAGCAAACACGTCATCTGAAATAAAGTCGGTACTTGTTCAGCACCCTCCAAAAAAGCATTGTTCACTTGGCATTCTGCCCAGCCTTCAGAGGAACTTTCAGAAGAGCTCGAGGAACCACTGGAGTCACTGCGGCTACTTTCGAGGTGCTGCAGCTTTTGCATGAGTGTGGCCTTCTTCAGTTCGAGCTGCTCGACCCTGTCTCGCAGTGCCTCCACCTCCTCCTTCTTCACCAGTGTCTCCTCACGGAGAGCCATCAACTCCTGGTTCTTCCTCTCGATCCTCTTAGCACCTTCTCGCTGAACTTGAGCCGGGGTGCGCCGATGCCCGCGCTTGTCCGGCATCCCTTTGTGCGTCCACCCAAGCCAAGCGCCCACCCTTTGTGCGTCTCCTGAACGTCAGCCGGTGCTGATGTCCACCCACAAGTATTCTTCTCGCCGGTTGGTCTGGTGATGCTAATGAAACACAAGGGCGAGGTGCAAAGCCATGGTCTTCGAAACATTGGGCCAAAAAATCGCAGAGTGTGTACAGTAATCACAGAGCCTGTGAAATGGCACACTTCCAACTAGAGTCACACAATTTCAGTCAGGGAATTTCATTCAGCACCAAAACAGACCGAAAGGTACTTGCACAGCACCTTGATTTCATGTAAGGCACAGTCCATGAAGGCTCAAGCACATCTACCTGTAATAGCACCCAACATAGCACCCAAAATAGCTCAGGAATCGACCGGATTGAGTTCAGGAATCGACCGGATCATCACCGTGATCAACCTTGGAACAGATGACACTGTCACTAGGGGTGGGTTTTCGAATGTTGAGTTTTGCATGGCCTATCTCACCAGCTTGCTTGAGACAATACACTGAGATACACTGAGCATGGCATCTCTGATTTATGTTATCAAAGGTACTTGTACAGCACCATGGCAATCACACTTTGCTGAGTACTGAATCACTGAGACAGCTTCTTAACTTGAGGCCCCTGCGCATCACATTCAATGATGGCCTCATGAGGCATCACAACAGAAACATGTAAAAAAATTGAAAAATATAGGTCGGTCTCCATGAAATCACATTAGTATATATATATATAAGCAACAAAGCCGGTACTTGTGCAGCACCCGGCAGGAAAAAATAAGGTACTTGTGCAGCACCCAAAGAAGCTTCGAAGCTGCTACTCTCTGATATGGCACTAGAGAAACATCTGGCATTTCAGCAGCGCCAAGACAGGATCGCAACCAGCACAAGGCTGCCATCTTTTTCACCAGGTAGGCCATGGCTGCAGCTGTGCTGTCACATTTGCAATTCTTTAATGCACCTTCCCACAAGCAATCAGAACCATCTTGATCACTCGCGCCAGCAGTGGTACCGGCACAGCATTTCCAGCTGCTCGGCGTAGCTGGCGTTCTGACATATGGTGCCAGTAATCACCAACCCTTTCGAGACTGGTGCCTTGAAGGCTGAGAATCTCGCGGGTTGTCATCTTACGCTCAAGCCAGGAGAGCCAATGGCCTGAAGAGCCAGCTCGGGTCACTGTCAAGCATGGACTTACACCCCACATAGCGTGAGGCACGCTGCCCGAAATGTCACAAACATACTCCTCGTGTCCGAGAATCCAGCCCTGTTTTGCGACATTGGCAGCAAGCTTCTGCACATTATTCTTCTCCGTGTTGTTCAGGGAATCCATGCCCAGCTCTTCTTGATGCTGGATGTTTTCCTTAAAGTAGTTTCGTAAAGGAAGCATGGCCACATCCCCTGGCCAGACAAACGGCCTAAGCAATGAAGCTTTGCGAACCCCGCAGATGAAAATGCGCTCCCGATGTTGCGGCAGCCAACCAACCGCAGAATTCTCCAGCACTTTCCATTCCACGTGGTATATATTCATGACGGTCAGGATGCTAATAATCATGTCCAAAGTCTCTTTGTGTTGTTGAGCAAAATTGCCCACATTCTCCAAAATGAAGCACAAGGGCTTGTGAAGCCACAGCCACCGCAGGATCCAGAAAATCACATGACCGCGTGGGTCCAGGATGCCATGGTTGTTTCCTGCTTTGCTGAAAGGCTGGCACGGAAAACCTGCTACAAATAAGTCACAGCTTGGAGAAGCTAAGAATTCCTCTGTGCAGCAATCTGAAAAGACATTGCAATGGCCATGCATTGCATGGTTCAAATTCAGCAACTTGTGATCGATTTCACACGCCACGCAACTCACAAACGATACCCTTAACATCTCCAAGGCCAGAAGTTCTGCGCTCAAGCCACTGCAGCAGCTGCCAACACGGAGTCCACTACTGTCAGTGTGCCTGGAGCAGCTGGAGCACCATGAAGATCTTGACGAGGCAGGCGCCATGATCCACTGAAGCAACATCACCATCACATCTTTTCTGACTCTTTCTTGGCTCTTTCCGGACTCTTTCCGGATTGTTTTTTGAACGCCCGGCATCAAGTCACAGCGGTGGCCGATTCTAAACACACACCATAAACTTGCAGCTATCTGCAGTGTGATATGTGATGCGTGTGATGTGATATGGTGATTCAGGCACTGCAACTTCTGATATGAGAAGCCAAATCTATTGCGCTAACATGTATTTTCTTGTTTGTATCCTTAGCAATCTCAGGAGGGCTTATCCGGTGTGAATTGGACCTTGGTTTTTCGAATGTTGAGTTTTGCATGGCCTATCTCACCAGCTTGCTTGAGACAACACACTGAGCGTGGCATTTCTGATATATGTCATCAAAGGTACTTGCACAGCACCATGTCAATCACACTTTGCTGAGTACTGAATCACTGAGACAGCTTCTTAAATTGAGGCCCCTGCGGCCCCTGCGCATCACATCGATCGCCTGGCATCACAACAGCAAAGACCAAATGGCACAGCAGCTGAAACATGGCTCAGTGACCCGGAATCCACATCTTTTATTCAAGAAACAAGGCCGGTGCTTGTGCAGCACCCGGCAGGAACAAAAAAAAGGTACTTGTGCACACCCAAAGAAGCTTCGAAGCTGCTACTCTCTGATACGGCACTAGTCACTAGAGAAACATCTGGCATTTTCCGCAGTGCCAATTCTGCTTCACCTTTTTCTTCCTCCCGTGCCCGTCTGTGCTGGGCAGTGTCTTTGCTCTTTCGAAGCTCTAAGTCTCTTAATCGGAATCCCTCTATTAGGGATAGCTGACAGTGCCTGAGCGCTGGCCTTGCTGCCCGATTCCGAAACAGAACAAACACTATACATTAATAGGTCATTTTGTTTTTCATTTTTCAATATGCACATCAATGAAATGAAATTGAAATGAACTTTCCTCCAGGGACATGGCTGCAGCTGGGTCGTCACTCATTTCATAAAGGTTCAAATTTTGAGCGTGGGCTGCCCGATTCCAATATCAATGCAACAAGTTGGCAACAACTGATTTGGGATTTTGCTATTGGTAGGGACATGTCATGTCTGCAGTTTGTAGCCCAATCGGCTCTCGCTGGATTTCCAGCAGAGCTTTCCCTCAAAATGGTTCAAGCGCGCTCAGGGTATCAGATCATCTTCACTGATTGCCAAGGGAAGCCAATGCCTGCATGATCGAAGCCTCCGTATTGCCCTTGCCGCCCTTGCCGCCCTTGCTGCCCTTGCCAGGCTTTCCTCCTCCTTTGGTTCCTTGGCCAGGCTCTTCTGGTTCTGGGTCCTCACCGTCTCCTTTGCCGTCTCCCTTTTTGGTTCCCTTTTTGCCTCCCTTTTTGCCTCCCTTTTTGCCTTTGCCTCCTTTGGCTCCTTTGACTCCTTGAGTGCCCTGGGCATCCACCAGCTTGTGCAGATTGACATCATACAGCTCAGACTCAGGAGTAAGGAACTCCTTCCAGCAAGCACGGACCACTTCAGCTTCCAGCACCTCGCAAGCATACTCAGAGAGGCATGAGCCTATATATGGAACTTTCGATTTCAAGCATGCCAAAGCGAAGTTCACATCCATGCAGGTGCTATCATAGACACCACCCAGCTCGAAGGAGTGGATCATTTCAATGTAGAATGCGGTCGGAAGGGAGTAGAAGCTGGCAGGCAACATGTCCTCGATGTCTCCAGGAAGAGAACCTTGACCTTGACAAGGACCTCCTGCCAGCACCTTCCCGTTTTCCCCCAGCATCTTCTCCTTGCATTCCTTGCTCACCAGGAATCCGCCACGGAAGGGAGACACAACCACCGGTCCAATCAAGGAACCATGTGTGGAGCCTACATAGGTCTTTCTCTCCCGGTCTGTCAAAGCCAAGCCCTCTTTGCTGTAGACATGCAGCCCTTCCACCTGGGACACCATGCCACGGGTAAGGCATTTTCTGGTTCTGAGAGCCTTTTCGTCATATGCCACCTGAAAGGTATTGAGGGATTTCATCATCACGTCACCACTGGGCAGCACCAAATCCTTGGAGAATTGGGCTTCCAAAGAACGAAACCCATCCATGCACATCACCAATGTCTCCTCAGTGATCTCTGTCTCACCACGGGCCTGGAAAGCTGCATGAACATGCTTCTTGAACGTTGCCTTCTGGTATGGAGGACAGCGGCAGTGTGGCTGTGCAGATGATTCACCTTGAGTTTTGGTGTCATACCACACGCACCAATATTTCCCACGCACGGGAAACTTCTGCAGCACAGTGCCTTCCAGCAACTGTTGTGTCTTCAGAACCGACTGCTCAAATGGCCTGAACGTGATGAAGCGCCCAGCATACTCTTTCACTGCTCGCAGGTGTTCTTGAAGTTCTTTGGCGTTCTCCTCATCCTCTAGGAGCTCACTGTCCACCAAGCTTTCCAAAGAAACCTTCGTCTCTGGATCCTCGTCATCATCAGCAGCCAACACAGATTCCTTCACTTTGCCTGGGCTGATCTCTGCCTCTAGCTTGAGCAAGATTTCGGAAACAAGGTCAGCAACTTTTTGGGACAGCATGACGTCCTCAATGTTGGTGCCTCCTTTCAAAATTGTTTTGAAATGCGGGTCCGGCGTCTTGCCAAACACTGCAACCTTCAGGAACTGCACCACTAAGATTTCTGCATCTGTGTACTCGCCCTGCCATGACAAGTCAACTTCCTTGCCTTCACTTCCGCAGAAGGATCTGAAGATGTTGTGGTTGGTCAAGTTCAACTTCACCATGTCTTTGAATGATTCTCTTGGAAACTTGCACAGGACGTTGGTCACAAAGTATTCCATGACTTCCTTCTTCGTGAGAAACAATTGGATGTATCCAACAGATCCTGAAGCACCTTTGAGCTGTCGGAAGGTAAAGTTTGTGGGCCCAAACTCATCCGGCATGTGGTGCAGGTAGTCCACCATGCTCTTCATGATCCACAACATATTCTCAGCGGTCTTGCCCTTCATGGTGATCTGCTCCAAAGAACTCAACTGGTTGAAGGGCGACGCTTTGCCATGGAGCTTGGCATCCTGCAAAGCAGTTCAAGACTGTTCAAGACATTGCTTGACCTATCCATTGGCAAAAGGGTACTTCTACAGCACCCATGAAAGAAAAGGGTACTTCTACAGCACCCATGGATAGGACATGATATACAATGATATATATATATATACAACAATATTATGAGCTGCAAATTTCTGGTGGTTGATGATTGTTGGGCTGGTTTCGTGGGATTTTACATGTTTGACACATCAACATATGGGAATGATAGGGCCTAACAATCATACATTTTACATGTTAAATAAGCTTACAATGGCAAACAAAATATTTCTACAGCACCCATGGCAGAAAAGGGTACTTCTACAGCACCCATGGCAGAACACGGCGGCCAACAATCCTCCATTATGATGTCCAAACTCTCTGGCGCAGCAGTGAACAGCCTGTGGTACACCTTCATCGCGGTATCCACGAAATTTTCAGTCACACGATCACTGAACTTGGAATCAGTCTGGATCACGTGCTCCTTCCACGCAGAAGCGAGCTCTTTGTTGGAGAGATCCCTGTTGGCCGTGGTCTTGATCAGTGATCTGTAGCCGACAAGTTCATACACTCGCTGTGTGACATCGCGGGCGAGGGACTCAAAGTCTGAGACCACCATCTCGCGGAGGTTCACAGCACGCCAGTAGGCCTCCTCTGCAGTTCCCAAGGTTTCGAAGATGAAGGTGGAGCAAAGGCACAGCTTCCGCCACCCTTGCAGCTCATCCTCGTCTGCCTCTCCAAGACGCTCATGGATCCGAAGCACCAGTGCATGGACGAGCTCTGGTGGGCTCACAAACTCGAGTGCCCCGAACCTCCTCATGATGGATTCTCCTGTGGCCTGATCAGGAGCTCGTACCACAAACTGGTCAAGCAATGTCTGTGGAGTTGCAAATTTCGTCTCCATAATCACATTGATGGAACGCTCGCTGATGGGAACACCTGGCTGCGAAAGATGAGTGAGCTTCAGCCAGAAAAGGTTTGCAGAGCAGTCATACTTGCCGCTGGAGCTCAATGTTGTAGTTGCATGCTTCGCACTGAAGGACACCTGTCCACACAAAATGCTCTTACGCTCTCTAACCGGACCCCACCTTCAAATGCTGTCAGGACATCGAAGCCAGTAGTGAAATTTACCCAGAGCAGGCATCAGTCGGGGACGTCCCCGACTGCTGAGGGGATAGGGTAGGATATGCTTCTAAGCCAGTTGAGAGGATGGGGTTTGCTTACCTATGAGCCTCACCCTGCGTGACATATGTTGACACCCTATGCCCTCAGCAGTCGGGGACGTCCCCGACTGATGGGTGAAGGAGGTTAAAAACACATCTTTGCTCGAGTTAAGGATTGAAAACGTTATCCCTCTGGGCCTTGTGATTGCCCTCTTCCATCTTCAATGGTGAAGCAGAAAGCATGTCTGCAAAGATTGGGTGCTGAAGGATCTCATCTCTGGCTTTGGTCACAGCAGTAATTCGTTGCAGATTGACCGAGTGGATCAACTCCGTGGGCTCAAACTTCACGGCCACAGGCTGGAACAATTTGGCCTGCTTCGATGCGGATGCCGGTGCCGACTCTGGGGATCTCTTCCTCGAAGCCATGATGACCAATCGAGGATCGTAGAGGGCCAACGAATGCAAGTCCAATAAATGCTGAAAGCGGCTGCGTTTGGAATGTTCACATTTCGACAACAACAGAAAAAGTCCGTTATTAAATGTGAAGTCTGTAGGTGCACAGTAGAAATGCATCACATACGACAGTAGTACCCGGGCACTGTCCAGACAAAAAGTTCCTTCCACACAAATGTCCCTTGCCTTCACATTGTTTAGTGCAACACGGTGTCCCAACCTCAACAGGGAAGCACCAAGGCTTTGCTCTCTCGGCTCGGGCTTGGTGCTGACTGCATGTCTATATGTTTAGCCTTATTATGTCAAGGTTGTGGGGAGAAAAGCAAGAAAACTTTCGAGATGGTCAGAAAAAAAATCTGCATCTTGTCATTAGGGTACTTGTGCAGCACCCAAAAAGGCTTGATAATACAATACAATGCAATACAATACAATACAGTACAATAGAATATAATATAATATCGATAATATAATATAATATAACATAATATAATTTAATATAACATAATATAGTACAAAATCACAAAATACAGTAAACAATAATATAATACAAAAAATATAATATAATATAACATAATATGAGGCCTTGGTGAGACCTTGAGAAATCTCATTTTTTAAAAATATTTAGACATATTTTGACAAAAAACAAAATATAAAAAAATTAAATGTCACATCGATACATTGAAAATGAACCACTGAATGTCTTAAACCTGATTGTGGACAGAACTTATGGATAGAAATCTCATTTTAAAAAAATATTTTGAAAAAAAACAAAATTGAAAAAAAAATGAATTTCATTTCAATGCCTTGAAAACGAACCACTGAATGTTTTAAACCTGATTGTGGACATAATTTATGGATAGAAGTGTCATTTTTGAACCAAATTTCGACCAAAAAAAATCAAAAAAAAATGTTTTAAATTTCATTCCAATACCTTGAGCATGAACCACTGAATGTCTTAAACCTGATTGTGGACAGAACTTATGGATAGAAATCTCATTTAAAAAAATATTTTGAAAAAAAACAAAATTGAAAAAAAAAATGAATTTCATTTCAATGCCTTGAAAACGAACCACTGAATGTTTTAAACCTGATTGTGGACATAATTTATGGATAGAAGTGTCATTTTTGAACCAAATTTCGACCAAAAAAATCAAAAAAAATGTTTTAAATTTCATTCCAATACCTTGAGCATGAACCACTGAATGTCTTAAACCTGATTGTGGACAGAACTTATGGATAGAAATCTCATTTAAAAAAAATATTTTGAAAAAAAACAAAATTGAAAAAAAAAATGAATTTCATTTCAATGCCTTGAAAACGAACCACTGAATGTTTTAAACCTGATTGTGGACATAATTTATGGATAGAAATAATTTTTTAAAATTTATAAAAGTGACATTTTTCATTTTGCATCACTTTCTCCCCGTTGTGTCTCCCCGTTGTGTCTCCCCATTTCCTGCTCCTGTCTCCCCGTTGGACCACCCCGTTGTTCAGGCCATCTGCCCGGAACCAGCTCTGCACAATAAGGAGCAGGAAATGAGATGGTTCCGGGCAGATGGCCTGAACAACGGGGTGGTCCAACGGGGAGACAGGAGCAGGAAATGGGGAGACACAACGGGGAGACACAACGGGGAGAAAGTGATGCAAAATGAAAAATGTCACTTTTATAAATTTTAAAAAATTATTTCTATCCATAAATTATGTCCACAATCAGGTTTAAAACATTCAGTGGTTCGTTTTCAAGGCATTGAAATGAAATTCATTTTTTTTTTCAATTTTGTTTTTTTCAAAATATTTTTTTTAATGAGATTTCTATCCATAAGTTCTGTCCACAATCAGGTTTAAGACATTCAGTGGTTCATGCTCAAGGTATTGGAATGAAATTTAAAACATTTTTTTTTGATTTTTTTTGGTCGAAATTTGGTTCAAAAATGACACTTCTATCCATAAATTATGTCCACAATCAGGTTTAAAACATTCAGTGGTTCGTTTTCAAGGCATTGAAATGAAATTCTTTTTTTTTTCAATTTTGTTTTTTTTTCAAAATATTTTTTTTAAATGAGATTTCTATCCATAAGTTCTGTCCACAATCAGGTTTAAGACATTCAGTGGTTCATGCTCAAGGTATTGGAATGAAATTTAAAACATTTTTTTTGATTTTTTTTGGTCGAAATTTGGTTCAAAAATGACACTTCTATCCATAAATTATGTCCACAATCGGGTTTAAAACATTCAGTGGTTCCTTTTCAAGGCATTGAAATGAAATTCATTTTTTCATTTTTTTCATTTTTTTTTCAATTTTGTTTTTTTTTCAAAATATTTTTTAAATGAGATTTCTATCCATAAGTTCTGTCCACAATCAGGTTTAAGACATTCAGTGGTTCATGCTCAAGGTATTGGAATGAAATTTAAAACATTTTTTTTTGATTTTTTTTGGTCGAAATTTGGTTCAAAAATGACACTTCTATCCATAAATTATGTCCACAATCAGGTTTAAAACATTCAGTGGTTCATTTTCAAGGCATTGAAATTCATTTTTTTTTCAATTTTGTTTTTTTTCAAAATATTTTTTTAAATGAGATTTCTATCCATAAGTTCTGTCCACAATCAGGTTTAAGACATTCAGTGGTTCATTTTCAAGGTATCGATGTGACATTTAAAATATTTTGGCTAGGTGAGGGTCTCAAAAGTGATAAGCTACATGGATTCTGGTACTTTTTCAGCACCAACAGGGTTCATGGTACTTGTGCAGCACCAACAGCTACCTAAAACTCAGGGACTACATGGCGGATGAGGAAGGGTCCGCACGGATGCTGGTACTTTTTCAGCACCAGCAATGTTCGTGGTACTTGTTCAGCACCAACAAACACAATGTTCACATGTTCAGCAATGTTTTTTGTGGGTGTTGAACATATAATAGATAGAACATCCATATGCAGCCAGTGCTGAGGCCACCGGTCCATGAATGTTGACGAGCTTTCAATGCATAGACCTCACGAAAAGGCAACTTCAAAGGACCCATGCACTCTCACAGTCCCGACTATGTGGCATCACATGATTTTTTTTACATTGAACATGATCCATTCCTCCCTGTCAGCTCATCCATTCCTTTTTTATCTCTCTCAAAGGCCTTGCTGCATGGTTTTGCATCTGGCCATTCCGGGTCCACGATTGTGGAAATGATGAGCAGGTGTCCATCTACCTGCCATTCCACTACCTGCCATTCGGCAGGTGGCCATAGGTGACTTCTATGGCAAAAGGCCTTGCTGGCCATTCCAGGTCCACATTTGTGGAAAATGATCAGCACGGAGAGCTAGTACTCCTCCAGCCAATTGAGAGCCGACGACCCTCCAGCTCCTGGGAGAACAGCTCCTCCTTGCTCCTCCAGCCAATTGAGAGCAGACGACCCTCCAGCTCCTCCAGCTCCGCCGATTTCTCCTGGGAGAACAGCTCCTCCGTCTCTGCCATTTTCTCCTGGGAGAACAGCTCCTGGGGGCGGGTCCAAGGTCTCAGGGATCGTCCCATGGGCAAGATGGCCAGGTGCTTCTGCATCTGGCAGCCGCGGGATGTTCCCGTCCATGACCATGACCCAGTCCATCTCTCTGACCAGGACCCACTCATTCTCATCCTCCAGGCTCGTTGCCATGTTGATCTCGAACATGCCCTTCAACGTCAGAGTTCGACGGCCAATTGTGTCTGTTAAGCCTAAGTTTTGATGCTCTGGACAATGAGAATTTCACAGACAATGGGCGAAACAGTACATGTTACAAGAAGCTGAACTCAAAACAAACCTGAAAGCTTCACTGCCCACCCTAAGTGCAAGGTGAAACAGCACATGTTACAAGAAGCTGAACTCAAAACAAACCTGAAAGCTTCACTGCCCACCCTAAGTGCAAGAAACTTTGGCCATTTCCAATGAACATGTGATCTCGCCAGTACGGGCGGTATCCCGTGCAGTGGAAGCCTTGTAGGAACAGACTGACACGATTGCCATTGGCATTGTCTTCCTCAAACTGTTGAATTCGATACGAGCCATGCGCAGGAGACCATGCCAAGCGCCCACCCTTTGTGCGTCTCCTGAACATCAGCTTGCCGGTGCTGATGTCCACCAGCAAGTACTCCTCTCACCGGTTCGTCTGGTGATGCCGCCAGTGGAACACAAGGGCGAGGTGCAACGCCATGGTCTCCGAGACTGTGGGCCAAAAAAATCTCAGAGTGTGTACAGTAATCTCAGAACCGAAAGGTACTTGCACAGCACCTTGATTTCATGTAAGGCACAGTCCATGAAGGCTCAAGCACATCTACCTGTAATAGCCCCCAACATAGCACCCAAAATAGCTCAGGAATCGACCGGATTGAGTTCAGGAATCGACCGGATCATCACCGTGATCAACCTTGGAACAGATGACACTGTCACTAGGGGTGGGTTTTCGAATGTTGAGTTTTGCATGGCCTATCTCACCAGCTTGCTTAAGACAATACACTGAGATACACTGAGCATGGCATCTCTGATATATGTCATCAAAGGTACTTGTACAGCACCGTGGCAATCACACTTTGCTGAGTACTGAATCACTGAGACAGCTTCTTAACTTGAGGCCCCTGCGCATCACATTCAATGATGGCCTCATTAGGCAGCACAACAGAAACATGTAAAAAGATTCAAAAAATATAGGTCGGTCTCCCTGAAATCACATTAGTATATATATATATAGCAACAAAGCCGGTACTTGTGCAGCACCCGGCAGGAAAAAATAAGGTACTTGTGCAGCACCCAGAGAAGTTTTGAAGCTGCTACTCTCTGATATGGCACTAGAGAAACATCTGGCACTTCTGCAGCGCCCAGGACACCACGCGGCAATCTTTTGTCACTCTGCGTTCCCCTACAGATGTCCCAATGTGCAAGCACTCAGTTCACATACCACAAATACCTCTTTGGGTACAAGACACCCGGGCTGTTGACTTCAGGAATT